TGAGTATGTTGTAGATCATATAGCGGAAATGAGGGTGCAACTGCAGGGGTAGGGTTTCCATAAATCAGAAGGTGGGCCCTACAAGAATATTATAAAAGGAGGAACATCAGCCAGAAGGAAGATATGTGAAAGAGAACTAGATAACTTGAAATAGAAGTAAACTTGAGAGAATACTGACTTGCTTGTCGGAGTGCTAATTCCGGCACCCCCGACCGGAGTGTTCATTTCTTTTAGGTAGCAACCAAAGGATCAAATAGCATTTGCCTAGATCAGAGAGCAATTCCAAACCTTCACCACAATTGGCGCCGTCTGTGGGAATACTCAAGTGTGTCCATGGCAGGTGTGACAGATGATCCTTTGATAGTTGCTAATGATGTTACACCAAGAGATGACATTACTCTAAGAAACATGCTTGGACTGGAGAATATCACCGCGGCCTTGAACTTCGACCCAATAGCTCAAACCTCACCCTCAACTTCTGTGCAGGAGACTGTGCAGATGATAATGGATCAAGCAAAACGAAACGAACAACGTCTAGAAGATATGATGGCTGAGAACGAGCACTTGCGTAAGGAATTGGCCTTGGAGTTAGCCAAATTCCAATAGGCCGCACGTCATGACCAGGGTCGATCCCCAGAAAAGAAGAAGGATGATTGACGATGCCGACTTTGGAAACATGATAATGGTAGTGATTCCTACCCATCATCCCAGGAACCCAGAAAGAAGGGGTGAGTTGATGTATCTAGTTCATTTGAAGGAAGTCCATATGTACGACACAGGCGAGGGAAAGGAAGTGATGATTCGGATGAAGAAGACAAGCACGGCCCTTTCGTATGACGCATTACAAGGGCTGTGCTGCCTAAAAAGTTCAAAGCACCGACGTTCACCCTATATGACGGAAAATCAGATCCCACTGACCACATTCGTCATTATAAACAAGCGATAACGTTGCATGCTGATGTTGAAGCCCTCATGTGTCGAATGTTTCCAAGTAGCCTGGGATCGTTGGCCGTCAGATGGTACTATAAACTGAAGCCGACATCAATAAGAAGCTTTCATCAGCTCCAAAAATCCTTCAAGGCAAGATTCATCACTAACGAAGTTCAGCCAAAGCAAGCCGACTCTCTCTAGGCAATGCAAATTAAGCCAAAAGAGACTCTCTATGAGTATTCGGCGCACTATTAGGAGTGTTTCAACTTGGTGGATGATGCCTGCAATGATTCCATGGCCATTACTGCCTTTAAGATGGAATTACACCCTGATAGTCCACTCCGCAGTTCATTGACCAGACGGCCCCCCAAAACAATCTGGGCACTGATGAAGAAAGTTGAAGAGTACTGTAAGGTGGAAGACAGTGCCCTACGAGTCAAGGTCAGATATAAAGTCATTAAGTCAACTCCATCTGATCTGGTTCAGCCAATAAGCGTCGTGCCATCAAGGAGTCCCGAACCTCGGAGGAAATAGATAGAGTTTTTCAGAAATCAAGACCCCATTAAATTTGGCTGATGATCATTTAGTTAGATTGCTCCAGTCTTTGTCGTGCGCAAAGTACAAAATTTTTAATAAGGAACCAAACACTAAAATTGTTTATTCAATATGACTATTTTGAGTTCAACTCCAAGTTTACTAACAGAATGAGGAGGATCAAGGTTAGATATGCATCTTCTCTCCTTGCTATTTCTTGTTTCCTCTCTCTCTCTCTCTCTCTCTCTCTGAGCTTTTGAGATGATTCAAACTTTCTATTTATTTCAATCAGATTCCTCTCCCACCAGTGGATGAACGGAAGAAAGTAGTTGAAGATGTTGACAAGGACAGACGTTATGCTATTGATGCCTCAATTGTGCGCATAATGAAGAGTCACAAAATTTTGGGTCATCAACAATTAGTGATGGAATGTGTTGAGCAGTTAAGCCGTATGTTAAAGGTATGCCATTCCTCAAATATGTGAAATACAACCAAAAAGTTAGCATTTGGTGTCATTTTCATTTTCTGCTCTATGTTCTTAAAACAGAATAAAATGGCTACTTATATGTAAAACATATTTGACATTGTTTCCAATTTTTTTATGAAAACACCCCTTTTTATGATAACCTTTTAAATTGATTTTTTGAAATTTTAAAAACATTTTTCCACACAAAATGAAAACATTGATGTTCCTTAACTTTTATGGGCTCACAGAGAAAATTTTTGGGCATCAAGTAAATATTTTTTTGGGGATAAGCATGTATCAAGTATCCGTTTTAATATTTGGATACTTTTTGGTTCTCATCCATAAATAAAGAGCGAAGACTGAGATGCGCTGATAGCAAAGCAATTACACATAAAAAAAGGATTTTTGACCTTGACTGCCGCCAAGTCATGTACATATTGAATCTTAATGTTGGTTGAGCAATTAATTGAGTATGAAATAAGGAGACTCTGTGGAACAAATTGTTTGTTTGTTTTGGTGGGTAAAAGTTGGGGAAGGGCTTGTTTTTAGTGAACTTTGCCGGAGGTCAGATAATGTAATGCTGACAATAGTGTTTCTCATAGTGCTTAATTGATGTGCTTGTGCAGCCCGACTTCAAGGCAATCAAGAAACGGATTGAAGATCTGATCACCCGTGACTACTTGGAAAGAGACAAGGGAAACCCAAACTTGTTTCGGTACTTGGCTTGACGTAACCCATTGATCTAGGATGGAGTTGACACTTGGCACAAATTTGAAGTGCTGGCGAAGTGTAAGAGCAGAGAGTGAATGCGCATCACAAACCGCCATGATTCCCATTAGTTAGTTGCCTCCTTTGGTTATATACTTGAAAAATGAGCATACATTTTTTTTCATCATTTTTTGTTTGACATCAACCTTTATATAGTGAGTTTTGAGCAGTTGATATATGACAACTTTGTTTTGGGGGTAGTAGAAGGGTATATTACCGCTTCAAGATATGGGGGTTGTGAATTTGCTCCCAATAAAAGGATAGAAAAGACATGGTGGTTGTGCTGCATCTTTGATTATAGTCTGGCCACCTGCAAAAAGACGGGAGTCTCTGGCTCAGGCCAACTCTATTGCTTTTTATACTTGAAGTAGTTATAGTAAAATTTCAAAAAGCGAAAAATAAAACAAGGAGGAAATTTTGGAAGTTTGGGCATATTTATATGTTTTGGGTGAGAATGTTAAATGAAGCCCTCAATAAAAACAAGAAGCAATGGGATGCCTGTGCTTCAAAAATAGAAGAAAACTGGAAAGAAATTTTTTTCTATTTTTTGAACTCAAGAATTTGACTAGGTTGATCACACTTCTTTCCTTCCCACACTTGGATTGTTAAGTTGTTGAAGAGAACCCAAAATCTATTGTTCGGATCTTGATTCTTTGATTCAAGGATGGGCACCAGTCTCTCATGTTAGCTGCACCAAAGCTGAAGGTTCATGTCATGGTTTGGGATTTGAATGTCTTTAGTTATTTTTTTGTCCCCAAAATTTGTTAGTAATTTTTTTTTTTTTTTAAGAACTTTCTCAATCCGCCAAGTATGAAGGATCTAAAAAGTACATTCTTATATAAAAATAATAAAAAATTCACTAAATACAAAAAAAAAGGATAAATTACAAATACATATCTTGAGGTTTGCTTAAAATATAAATTATTTCCTGTGGTTTGAAAAATTACAAAATTCATAATTACTCTCCTAAACAATAATAAAATTACCTAAATTATTAATTGAAACATATTTTTATTATTATTAAAAATTGTTAATTAACTTGATAATTTATTAATAAAAAAGGCGATTTGTTATGAAATTAAAAATCTCAGGAGGTGAAATATAATTTTCAAAACAACAAGAACAATTCATATTTTAATCAAATCTCAAGGGATGTATTTATAATTTACTCAAAAAAGAATAAAAAAAATCCTAGTTCATTGAGTAGAAATGTGAATTTTTAAAATTTTTTTTTAAAAAAATCACTAGAAAGGAAGGGGGAAAAAAGATCAAAAAACAAAAACAAAAAAAGTCAATCCAAAACCACATTTAAGTAACAACTTCACATCAATTATAAACTACTGTTCTAATACCCGCGTGTAGCAAGTTTGAGACGAAACTTTTTTTTTTGTAGAATGAAACAAATGGCATGTTTGTACATATAATGAGACAGTGATGAAGTCTCTGTTTATCTATTGTATAAAATCTACTAAAAGAAAAGAAAGAATACAACAGAAGAGATTGGGGGCATGAAAATGGAGCACTTCATAAGTTGATGCTGATACCACAACAGTAGTTCCACTTGTTTACCTGTAACCAAAGATCCTATTCAAACACTGTAAAGCAAAGCAGTATTAGAGAATGAGCTATAGGCCAAAATAACATTATATATAAAAATATTCCCGATATACCACTTTTCCCAAACTAATTCCAAAATTGTTGCAAGTTCTGTCAAATCAGGCATTTGGAGCCTATGGATGTTATAGGTGGGATGGATTTGGTTTGTTTATTTTGGGTATAATGCATTGAGTTTGAATTTGGCGATAAGCATCCAGTTTGGAGTTAGAGCATTTACAACTTTAGACATAGAAGAGAAAGAGGAGAGAGGAGAGAAAAAAAGGGGTATTGAAAAATAGAGTCCTTTATGTTATGGGGATGAAATTCCTAATGAGGCCTGAGGTTGGATGGGAAATCAAAACAACGAGTGAAATTCCTAATGGAGTCTAAAGTTGGATGGGAAATCAAAACAACGAGAACAAGAAATTTTGCCTTTGGAGCTTCCAACTTCTTGTTTGCAAATGAAAGGACCACAAAACAAAAATAAAAAAGAACAGGTTTTCATCCTATAAAGTCCATATTATGGAAATTTTAATACAATTCAATTAGGGAAATATACTTTATTTTGATAAGATGCGACACTTTCATTAAAAAAGAGAAAAAAAAATCAGTAAACAAACAAGCAAAAACTTCATACTAGTAGCTACTAGTAAAGAATTAGCTAAAGAACAACTTCACTTGTTAGATTAGCAACAATGTGATCATATGAAGCACTGGAACAATTTGTGTATTTCTATCGATAGCCACCAAATCAAAGAGAGAAACAAAATGAGTACATAACTTAGTACAGCCGGCCAAGAGTTCAACATAGGTAATTATGAATTTCATTAACCATTTGAAAAAGAAAAATAAGAAAACTCACTAAGGCGGTGTGAATTCTACAAATTTGATTGGTATGATACAGATTTACAAAGGCACTGAACTGCTAACACCTGTTTCTTAACAGATATTACGTGCAGAAAGATCCAGGTCATCCTCTTTCCTTTTCTTCCTTAATGATTGAAAACTGGAGGAAAACAATTGAAAACTGGAAGGAAAAAAACCAAAGAAACAAAACTATTCCTTGGTTTGACATAATCTCAACTACGAGTTAACGACTAATTGTTTCCATTGCCAACCATACCAAACATAATAATCTGTCCACATCTTGGAAGCTGAAATCAAGAGCCCTTTTAACAGAAATTATATCTTCTCTGTGCTGAGCCCTTTTAATAGAAGTTATACCTTCTCTATGCTCAGCCTTTTCCATTATTGTATTCGCAGCTGCAAAAGCAATTTGAGATTTCCTCGAGGCTTCCATTGCAAAATTTACATCCTGTAGCTGCAGATATTCACCTTTTAAGAAGCTAAAAGCAAAAATAATATATATATATATATATATTAGGTAGGAAGGCCATGGTTTGTGTGTATGTGGTACTCGCCCCTGATGACTTTCAAGATAGTATAGAATTTGAGTTGAAAGTAGAGAAATAGTTTGAATTGAAAGTAGTAAGTTCACAAGAAAGTAGAGTTGGAGTTGGAAGTAAGTAATACACAAAAGAAAAACAATTTAATACAATTCTCAAGTTTACAATTGCTTTATTAGTTTGGCTAAATGATGCCTCACATATTAGTAGACCTTCAAATATTCTATACAAATGTCAACAATCCAATGGTGTGGAAACTTTCTAGATTCTTCCATCATCACCAAATGATTGCCTCTCATATTTACAGACGTTCAAGGCTTTAATTGATAGTTCAGATATGTATAAATATCAATAATATAGTAGTATGAAAGTTATCTAGATCCTTCCACCACCTTATGGTGGAAAATTTCTACAATTATCTCCCTAATTATAGGGATTTCTACAAAATTTTACATCAATGTAGAATCAAATTCATAACTCAAATATTTGATAAAATTCACAAGTTGTGACATTATCCCCACCTAATACAACCACATCCTTAATGCACATTCTTCGTGAAAGCTTTGGATATTCTCTTTGAATTGCTGCAGGAGTTTTGCTAACTCTCAACTTGTCAATTTCAAGTAGTCCATTCCATTTTCCTTGGTATTTTTAACACATCATTGGAATTCCTACTAATTCCAAACTTTTAAAATATCCAAATTCAACCTTTTAAATCTCCAAATTCAAGACTTAGTAGTATAATTTTCTCTCAATAAATGCAAACTATATAGATAGCATTGTAAGCAAGAGACAAAATTATTTACGATTGACCCATATAAACACTAACTTTATAGCCAGTCAATAAAGAGATGACACATAAGCAAGAGAGTGGACTCTCTGATAGTGGGATTGATCTCTCAAATTAGTCAGTCATTATGGCAAGATACTGATCCAAAAAATATATTTTGTAAGTGGGTTGAGGAAAGATTAAAAACAAAGAACAACTATGAGTTGCTTGGACTTTTTGGTGATTCAACATCACATTGTTGTCCTCGAACCCCTTACGGCCATTGATGGACACCTATTAATGACTTCATAATTTTATGAGACTATTCCTTTTGAATGAAAGGGTGACCATTGGTTCAATGGTTAAGACTTGGCTTAATAACCTTAAGGTTATGGGTTCAAGTCATGGGGCCATCACTTTGTGCATTATGCCAAAGGTTAGGTGTGCACTCAATCTTTTCCCTCCCAAACACACATTAATGTGTACTAATTGGGCGTTATTTTTTTATTCCTTTTGAATGAAAAACATGGAATTAATATGCCCAATGACTGAGGAAGGGAGGGGCATATTTTTGAAGATTTAATTTTAATTTCTACATTTATATTTTAAATTTGTTGATAGAAATGGCAAAGAAAAAAAAAGAAAAAGAAAAAGAAGAAGATAAAAAGTTCATAATTCTAAAAGTTGGAGAATAACAAATGTCTTCAAATAATAATAAGTTTGAGAAAACTTCACAACAATTTCCGTGTCTTCATTTATTTTTAAATTTTTAAATTTTAATTAAAAAATTATTTATTTTGACATACCTAATATAAAGGGTAAATTATAATTTAACCCCTTTTGGTTTACCCCAAAAACACAGAACCCCCTTGTAGTCTCATTTGTAACACTTAAACCCCTAGACTTTATATCATGTTGTAATTTTTGATGGACGTAACAGAAGTGCACAAAACGACGTCGTTTTGTGCACTTCTGTTACGTCCGTCAAAAATTACAACATGATATAAAGTCTAGGGGTTTAAGTGTTCAGGAAAGAGAGAGAGAGAGAGAGAGAGAGAGAGAGAGACAAACACTCTCCCTTTCCCTACAATGGCCAAAACCAAAAACCCAACAAAATCCACCAAGAAAAACCAGCCCATGATTCCATAGCTTCTGGCGAAGCTAGTGTCTCTCCATCAGGGAATCAAATAGTTCTTCCAAACCCACCACCAGAAAAAGAAAAGAAGAGAAATCTGCTCGGAATGCCAGGTAAAATCACCAAGCTAACCCTTCAAAATCTCTAATCGAATGGTGGTTCATATAGTCACGTTGAATTGAAATTGTCCTTTTTATTTCTTTTTTAGATACAAATGCAGAGGTGATTGCTCTATCCCCAAAGACTCTAATGGCAACAGATTGATTCATTTGCCAAAGCCATGGCCGCCGAGCTTTTTGTACTCTAGAACGATTGTCAAAGCAAAGGCTATAGAGAAAGAGACAGCTTTGGCAGCTGTGGAGTCCTTGAATCGGATCGGAGTTCGGTAAAAGACATGGCCGATCAATCGAAGCGTGTCATTGGTGAGTTGGAGAAGACCATTGTTGTGGATCTCTACAACACCGTTTAGGCTTATGTTGTTGTTGTCGGTAAAACCCTTGAAGCCATTGTAGACGAAGCCATTGTTGAGCTGAAAAAGAACTGGGTTTGTTGAGAGGAAGAGAAAGAGCAAGAGAAAGAGAAAGATAAAGATTGATTTGGCCATGAAAGAGAGGACAGAGCTCAAGCACATGGGGGGGAGAGGACAGAGCTCAGAATATGTTAAGATGTAATATGACCTACTCTATTCCTGAGAGTGATTTTAGAGAAAATGAAATCTCTCTGGCTGCAATCTCTCTCTCTTTCCCCTAATTTGACTTGGCCCCTTTGGCACTGTTATTTTAAGGAAAAATTACAGATTAGTGTAATTGTAAGAAAATAATTATAAATCAATTGTAAATTTTATTAATTTTAATAATTAAAAATATAAGTTTTTTTAATATTTCTTTAAAGAAATTTATACTGAATTATAATTTTTCCTTATTTTAATTAGGCAGATACTATATTCTCGGAATACATAAGAGACGGATCTTTTTAACGATGTCAGATATAATTGTTCAATTCAATCGGCGTGTGGTAATTGTATGGTTTTGAGATCCCAAGCTGAACTCTCTCTAGGGCTAACATTTGGTCTATAGCGCATATAGTAGGTCGAACCTTTCAGATATCAACGAATCGTATCCAGTGTCAAAAGTGTGAATTCAAATCCCTGTCTATGTGAAAGTCCATACCTTACCATTAAATGATTAAATAGCTCTGTAGTGTGCCATCTAAGGATGACCTTTGAGATATCGACTTCTTAGGGTATAACCCTAGAGTTCTCCTCCCTATGATTATGCTTCTTTTTTTTCTTTTTTTTTTTGATTATTCAATTCATTAATTAATTTATATTTTATTGTAGCTAAAAGTTATTTTGAAAATTGATACCTCCACCACCATACTATTACTGTCTCAACCACAACCACCATCACTCCACCTCAACCTTATTAATTTTGCCACCATTATCATTTTCATCGCCATTGTTGCCACCACTATTGTCGCACCACTACACCACCCTAACAGTTTTACCTCCACCTCCACCTCCACCTCCACCTTACTGCTGTCACTACCACCACTACTAATGCAATCATTAATGTGTTAATTTTAACAATGCAATCCATACATAAGAAAATATTTTCTATGAAAAACATTTTATGAAAAAAAAATTCTATAGAAAATGTTTTTTGGATTTTTTTTTTCAGAAAACATTTTTCGTCGAAACAAATGAAATGGTATTATATAATACAAGTTATATCATGTGCTAAATAGATAAAATAAAGAATTAGATGAAATAAGTGTACACTTTTTTATTATGTTTGATTATGATTGAATAAAAATGTGATTATTTTTTTTATTATTGGTGAATTACTATTGTGTTAATGATAATATGGTAATTAATGTGAATGTAACATTTTCTTTTTTAAATTTCTTCTTGTAGTTGTCAAATAATTTTTTTTAAACTCTAACATGGTTGAATTTTTAACAAAATAAAAATTGACACATAACTTGTCATTGTGAGCTAAATTGTAATTCTTAAATTGTAAGGTGGTGTTTGATAAAATTAAAAATTGAAAACTAAAAGCTGAAGACTGAAAATTAAGTAATAAAAATTAAATGCTAAATTTTTTAAATTAAAAAGTTGTTTAATTAAAAAATTAAGTGTCGAACTAAAACATATTGTTTAATATATACAAGATTAAATTTAAAATTTATTATTTTAAGTTGTATTGCAACAACAGTGACGACAATATCAATGGTGATGAAGGTAAAGACATAGTGGTTCTAGTGATGGTGGATGGATAATGTAGTGGATGTAAAAAAGATGGCGACAATGATGTAGTGATGGTGGTGGTTATGATAATGGTGACAATAGTTGTGGAGGTGAAGGGTAATTGTAATAGTGGTTGAGAGATGATGGTAATGCAATGGTGACTGTGATGGTGGTGTGGTGGTAGTAGTGAAATGATGATAGTACTTATACAATAATAACAATGGTGGAGGTTGTTGTGGTGGCAGCGACAGTAAGAGTGGTGATGGTAGTGACAGCGGCGGTGGTAGAAGTGGTGGCAACGACGGCGGCGGCAGTGATGTTTTAACCATGTATGTTTGTACACAATTATTTATAAATTCAGTCAGAATTAAGTACATATCACACCACTTAAATTTTTGTTAACTTTAGTCTATATTTTAAGAGCTATTTAAACTTTTAAGTGCTGCCCATTGTGATTATCAGACGGATTTAATTCATTTTCAATTAATGCATTTGTAAATTCAATTAGAATTAAGTAAATATCATATCACTTAAATTTTTGTCAACTTTTAGTCTATATTTTAACAGTTATTTCTTATGTGATACCCATTGTGATTATCAAACGGATTTAATTCATTTTCACTTAATGCATTCAGTTTTAAGTATTGAATTAAGTTATTAAACACCAAGTGTCAATTTTCTATCTATCTTCTATACTATTATTAAGTGAAGGTTAAATTTGGTGTCCAAGCCTGTGGTTGATTCTCCTCATACCAAGTGTCCCTCATTTTTTAAAGGGAAAATTAGTGAAAGATCCCTACCAAACTTTGAGTAGTAGAAGAGAAGCAATATATATTTTCTTATTAGCTAAGGCCCCTCACCACTAACCCAGCCAACTCTCTCTCCCATTTCCAACTCTCTCTCTCTCTCCTCGATGTTTATGGCCCAATCTGGATCGATGAGCATATCGCTAGTGGCTCGTTCAACCATAGAATTCACCATCTTTGCTTCAAATTTCAAACCCTATGAATGTCGGAAACAATCGAAATCTAAGAATCTAATCAACAGTGCACTTTTTCAGCGAGATCACGACGAAATCCAAAGAGGCACCGATTCAATTTGAGTAGATCAAGCCGAAATCCAAAATCAAAGTAAAACAATTTGCTAACTCAAAAGTGAAAAACAGATTGAAGAGTCTTTAAACCACATTTCTCTCCTTTGTCTTTAACAATCTATTCTCTCTCTTGTTCTCTTTGTGTGTGAAAGTTATAAATTTATCTGTGGTTCAAATTTCTCTGTAGTTGAAATTTTTTGTGAAGTTGAAATTTGAAATTTCTCTCATCTCTCTTTAATAATATATTCTCTCTCTTGTTCTCTTTGTGTGTGAAAGTTATAAATTTATCTGTGGTTCAAATTTCTCTGTAGTTGAAATTTTTTGTGAAGTTGAAATTTGAAATTTCTCTCATCTCTCTTTAATAATATATTCTCTCTCTTGTTCTCTTTGTGTGTGAAAGCTATAACTTTATCTGTGATTCAAATTTCTTTGTGGTTTAAATTTTTACTTGTGATTTTTAATTTTCTCTGGATTAGATGTATGGATTGGGAAATTAATTGGAATTGTGTTCAAATATGATTTTCTCTATGTTTTTGAGGAATAGTTAGCAATTTTTTGTGATTTTTTTCTGTGTTTAACATGCTTATAAGTTTGTAATTTTCTCTGGATTTTTATTTGTAGTTTATAATTTTCTGTGGACATGCAAGTATATGATGGCCAAAGAAGATCAGCATGACAAAGAAATTTTCTCTAGTTTGAACTCAAAGGAATTTCAATTTTCTCTAGTTTGAATCCAGAGAAATTCTTTGGGAGATCTAGAATTTCTCGGGGAAGTCCAGAGAATTTCTCTGGGATTGAAATTTCTCTAGATCGATGTTGAAGGATCTTAGATATTATGAAAATATTGAATGTCCTTTATGCCATAAAATCTTAATACTAGGGATCCTAAAAAAAAAAAAAAATCCCCTTTTTAAATAAAATAAAAAAAAAAGATAAATAGGAGGAGTCCCTTAAATCTTAAATTTGCTAAAAAATACAGTTATCACTTGACTGATACACAATATATAATAAGTATTTTATTTTATTTTATTTTTACTTATTTGATTTGCACATATATCGCATGTAGCAACAGTTAGTATTCCATAAAACAAATATAAGATAATTTAAGTAAACTAATAAAGAAAAAAACAATTGGAAAAAATCAGGTCTAATTAAAAAAGGCACATGAAACATATTATTAAAATTCCATTGAAATCCTAAGTAAGGCTGGCATTTGATGAAAACAAAGGGTCAAAATGGGCAAAAACAACAAAAAGCAAGCCATGGCACGTTTACATAAATGAAGGAGTCTCTTATATTATATTATAGATATATTAAACAGATATTCACCTTTTAAGAAGCTAAAAGCATATATATATATTAAACTCTGAATTTCTACGTATACTTACAAAGTTGAGCAGCCGCACCAAACTGGGGCGGTTTCATGCAGCAATAACATGGTTTGCAGCAACTTGAGGAGAGCTAACACCCTTGGTTAAGGGAACCTTGTCTAATGTTGTTGGGTTGTTTAAGTTATCAACGTCGGAGGCAGAGGAAGAGGGAGATTCACCTAATAAAAGCAACGATGGGAAGCAGGTCATCAACTAAAAGAACTGGTGGGAGCCTAGCATCTCATCTACCACAGCAAATCACCATCTTTAATATATGATAGAATGACAAAAATGAAAATTGCTAACTTTCACACAAAAAATAAGCAAATAAATAAAAAGTAAAATGAGGCCACAATTGGGATAAAATTACAATGTACACAAGGAAATATTTGATATTTGGATATTGTTACCTTCAGTATTCTAAGCAGGGAACAGAAGGAAAGAAAAATGTGAATAGGAGAATTTACAGTTGATCGATAACCTACACGTTTGTACTAGAAAGAAGATACCACAAAAGATTTTCGTCCAGCGCAATAAATTTCCTGCTCTGATATTTCCAGTTGCTTCAGTTTCTCTTATGGAAGTCATGATTTCAAATGAAATTATAGTACTTATTCATCGGCCTTTCCTCCTGTAAAGTGTGCAATGTCATATCATCACCAGATTCATGTAGAGAATTCCATTTCTAGATTTCAAATTTAAAGTTGAAGTGAAAAATATTAATATGCTTTTTAAATTTAAGAAATGATTGCAGGGACAGAAGTCAGATTCTAAATGATGAATTAAACTTACCACATTTTAGAGTAGTTTCTTGTTCAATTATGATAGTGGGGGAAAAAAAAATGAACTACAGGGCATGGGTTCCAATTCTTAGGAGATGAATTTGGACAAACCAAAAGTAGTGAAACTTTCATGTGAGATGAATGAAGAATTAAAAAAAAATGTTCATCCAATGCCATATTTCTCTGCCCAAATACTGACATATTGAACAGATTTTCCGATCAAAATTTATTTTAATTACCAGGAGGAACTATTTGCAAAGCTGTCTGCAACTCATGTCGATCTCTGCTTGCATTGGTATGCGAGTAGTAAATTACTCTCATATATGCCACCTCCATGCATTTGTAGGCCAGAGCAGCAGCAGCAATGTCCTTGGATTTCTCATAGTCATGAGCACAAAACCTATCAATTTAAGAATGAATAGCAAGAAGACAAAGTAGAGGAAAATTGCATAAGCTTTTCACATTGCACGAAGAAGAAATCATCCATAAAAAATGCAAGTAAAAGTTACTTTCTACCCTTCGTTTCAAATTCAGTTCTGTAAAGAGTGATGCATTACAAATAGTGGGAAATGATCCATTACCACGGCGAATATATAGGAAAAATTCCTTTCCCCGAACTGGTTGAACAATATATGCACATGGTTATAAGAGAGGGTATAACGGAACTATAAAATACTTAGAGAAGAAAATATAGAAAACAGTTGTGAAACCCAGAATGAGGTTTAGGGAATGCCTGTTCAGGTGGAGTGGCATTTTGAGCATTTTGACCTTAGTTGAAATATGCATTTTGACCTTAGTTGAAATATATAGAATCGCACTTTAAGATATAGGAAAGGGAGAAACAAAACCTCAACACAAGTTCAAGTATCTAGATTTCCAAACACACAAGTACGCACATATGCTTCTTGGACAGATAGTCACTGAGACAATTCTACAAACCACTTTAAACAAATCACAAAAAAAGCATACATCCCAACGAGAAAAAGGTTGCTGATAGAGCTTTGAGTATTACTTACTCACAGAGTTTTGCTGTGCTACTACACATTTGCATTGACCGAATCATCTCGCCTTGCTTGGCACTCTCGCCATTGCTAGATTCCAATAAAGAGGCTCCATGAAGAAACTTAAGGGCTGCCTGGAAGTAAAGACCTGTACTTTCAACAATTAATCCAGAATTCTGCAAAAGATACCCAAGTAGTGCCAAGAGTTAGGAAGATGAATAAACCAATTCCACAGTTGAAGAGGGGAAAAAATCTAGCGACCTTAAGGCGATCAGCAGAGTGTTTAAGATCCTTTGCCTCCTTTACAATCTTAGTGGTAGCCTAACAGGAGGAATCTCTTCTGGCAGGAATTGTGGCATCCGCATCCCTGACCCTATGGCCACTAATTGTTGGTTGTCTTGATCTAATCGGCTGATTTCCATTCTGGTTCTCAGACCTTTTTGTGTGTTTTGAAGCCTTCAATGCATCATCACCCTCAGAAGCATCAATTAACAAACTATTTACTCCATTCTTGAGCTCTATAGAGAGAGATTAACAAACTATTTCATCAATTAACAAGCTCTATAGAGAGATTCTTGAGCTCTTCATTAGACTAAATATGTTACT